AATCTTTATATGTGTGCAGCTTTCACCCAAGGTCGTAGGCTTCCACCGGCTAAACCGGGTGAGGTTGGTGCTCTGTAAAGCGCATGCGCAAATCTGGCTTTTCGTAATCTGAAAATACAGGAGATTCTACTCCGCCACTAATATTCTAATATACAATAGCAATTTTTTTTCCACGTGTAATATAGAAATCTGTAATAAGATACATAATGCGGTTATAATAAAATATTGTGCGATTATTTTCATATAATTAAAATTAATATTTATTTATTTTTTAGAGAATATGAGGGAAGCGGCGCTTCCAACGCTTCTAATGACGGCACGCCACTGGTATCTTGTGAGAAAGACTGGTCCGATCTTACATAGATCCATCTGAAACGAAAAGTATATGTATCCCTGGCCGTCATCACGATGTGAGTGTTCTTGCCGTCCAACAAAAATTTGGAGCATATTTAGTTTCATTGTATTATAACTTCAATATATATATATATTTATCTAAATATCTTACTTTTCTAATATCCATCCATTTAGAGAAAATGATTCTTGTTGCATGGACAAACTGTATAAAAATTCCTTATCATTCTTATGTTATTCAGTGAGTTACAAGTTTTTTAGTTCAGAGCAGAATGTTACTCAACTGATAGTATTCTCTAAAGTTTAGAGAATTCTCTATGTAATATTGTATAAAGAATACTCCTCTAATTAGAAATAGTATTTTCTACACACACACACTTGTTACTTTAAATTTTTAAAATCTAGTTTAGAAAATAAAATATATTTTTAAATAGATTAATAACAGAGAACTAATAATTAATAATCAGAGAACTTATCATGTGATGATACATATTTGCTCCAGTGCTTCATTAAGCTACAACATAAACATCCATACTGACTCATGAGTGGGGAGATCCAGGAAAATTTCACATGTTTTTGTAGTGTGAAGTCATATGCCTTTCAATGCACTGCTACTAATTTGAGAAACATTCAATGCCCAGGTTTTACCTGTCCAGGTAAACACCTGAATAGTTTGAAAGCAGCCTCACATTTGATCAGCTGTTTCATTCATAAATCTATTAGATTATAACTTATGAAAATAATAAAACAAAATATTGAGAAATAATTTATTTTTACTGAAAGAAATTTTTTGAATGAGTTATTAAATTATATAAAATTAGATAGAATGTTTTATTTCTTTCAATGGCAGAAATAGAATATTAAGTAGAAATAAAATAAAAATATACAAAAAACGAAAGTTTATAAAACATTGTATTTAGATAATTTTGAAATGTTACATCTCTAAAAGAACAAATAATATTTTTATTTAAAAAGAATTTCATTGCATTTTTTCATCTTGATACATGTAATGAAGTTTCATGCAGTCATCTTCACTAATAACTTTCCATCCAGTTTTGCTCATATGACAAACTAGGAAAAAAAATGAAATTTTAAAATAATAATAGTATTAATATATCAATTATTGCTATTTTAAAAATTTATAAATATTTTGTTTAAAATAAAAACTTAAAATTTAAAAGTTTTCAACATATATAGGGTGATCAAAAAGCAACTTTATAAAGGCAAATATTTTTATTGAAGAAATAAAAATGACACAAGGTTGATCTACAAGCAATGTGTTATTTCTAAAAATCATCCAGCTTGTTCACACATTTATCACAATATTTAATGAGCTTGTTCATTGTATCCTCAAGTCCTGTTGTTGCATTCATATAGCAACATCATTTTTCATTTTACCAGGTGACTGTAATGATTTATTTAAATATGAGAAAATGTAAAAATCAGGAGCCAGATCTGGACTATGGGGGAACAATGAAGAACCTTCCATCAAAACATCTGCAGCAAATCAACAGTCCAACATGCCATATGTGATCCAGCATTCATGAAGAATAATGCCTCATTAAGGAGTCCAAAATATTCTCTCCAAATGGTTCCTTTCAAGCTTTAGCAGATGGAACCTTTTGACACAAAATCAAATAATTTCTCAAATTTCTTTAAAAAACCATTTTTCTAATCGTATTGTCATTTGGAAATACTACATCACAATTATCTTATATTTGTGTGTCATTGTTATCATTCAGTGTTGTCAATTCAGTGGCTACATCACATAAATAAACTATAACAAAAACTAATTTCTATAAATAATTTTTTCAACTAATTTCAAGAAATATATTAGAAAATTTTGTCCAAATTCCATATACAATGTTAAATTAAATACAATAAAACATTTTCTTCCCTTTCAGAATTAAAAATTTATAACTAATGTAATTACTTTCATTATATTGTAAAAGTTTGTACTACAAAAAATTCATTATAAGATTTTAAATCTTAGAAATATGAAGACTATTTTTAAAATTTTTTTTGTGAATTTTTATTAAACAATCTGTATTTTGGTAACATACTTTTTTATGAATATTATCTGAAGATATTTATAACAACTGATTTGTAAAATATATTGAATTTCAAGTACTGTAGTTGAAATGTTATTTGCATACTAAATCATTCAATTCTTAAATTAGAAGTGAGTGTTTTCACCATAGCAACATTAGACTGCAAATTTGATTTCAACAATTATTATTACATAATTAAAATGCCTCAATGTCCTTTTTTTCTCACTAAAATGTAAATTTTCGACTATAAATTTGTATCTTCTATTATCAGGACTTATTATACTGGCTTTACAGATAATGATACAAAGTTTAACAGAAACCAATTTTTATTTTATTCCATATACCTGGTATATTTTTACAGTAACAGAAACCAATATTATAACAGAAACCAATTTTTATTTTATTTCATATACCTGCTATATGGAATAAAATAAAAATTGGTTTCTGTTAAACTTTGTATCATTATCTGTAAAGCCAGTATAATAAGTCCTGATAATAGAAGATACGAATTTATAGTCGAAAATTTACATTTTAGTAATTATTATTACAGTTTGATAAAATATTCTTGTGTCATCATGTTCATTTGACATTGCACTTACAGATTTCCATTAACTTTTGCTAAATTATGTTAATGAAAGAAAGAATATGCCAGAAAATTAAAAAATGATAAAAGGTAATAGAACAAGATAGGGATTATGTTATAGAATACATATTTTGAGGAAAATACAAAAGATGTCTTTAACTAAAAAATTTAAAAGTTTAAGAACAAAAAAATTAAGTTTTTACTTACAACTTTGTTTTTTAGTGAAAAGTGTTAAGGATAAGCTAATTTAAGAAATTTTTTCAGAAACTTAATATATTTAAATGCAATAATTTTTTATTAACAATGACAGTAAATAAATGTATGAAATTACTTAAATAAATTACATTATTTCATACCTCTAACAATGCCTCCACTGTAAGCATCTCTGTATGTAGCATGATAGATGGCTCTGCGAGCAAGATCAAAAGCATCATCATCACTCATATCATAGTCATAGCCACGATCCATTACTCCATAAGCATAAATTGATCCAGATCCAACTGAAAACATATCTCCAGCAAAGCGATTACCTTCAGTATCTAAATAATATAATCCTGGTCCCTGAAAAAAAAATTATATATTTTCTAAGTTATTTTTCTAAGTTTTATATAAGTTATTATTATTTATATAATTTTAACAAAACAAATATATGGGTCTACATACTTTTTTATCCCATCCTGATATCATAACACCCTAAAAAAAATTAATATGATATTGAGTAAATTTTTTTAAAATTTTAGTTTTAAAACAAACTAATTTTTTAAACTAAAATTAAATTGATAGAATTTTATTAAAAAATAGAGTTGTATAAGAATTATTTGTATTAAATTTAAAAAAACAAAAAGGAAATCAAACTTAACTTTATATATATAATTACACTGATACTATAATTATGTAGTCTAAATACAAATTATATTTCAAATATTTTTACATAATTAAACTATAATTAAGATTTCTGTAAAGGTTGTAATTTAAAAAATTTTTTAATTTTAAGCTTACCATTGATAAACCCATTCCTTTATAATTGAACAATATGTTTGCTAATAATTTAGAAGCTGCAGCTACAGATATACGTTCTTTGTTTCTTAATTCATAAATCCTTAAAATAAGAATATTTTTGATTAAAATATAATTTTTGCATTACACAATATACATTTAAAACACAATAATATTGAATATTACATTATGAAGTATAGACATGCTTAAGTTTTTAGTTATGATATGTAAGTAATCACAAGATTTACATACATTTTTTTGTGATATGTAAGTAATCACAAGATTTACATACATTTGTGATATGTCAGATATCACAAGATTTACATACATTTTTTTTATATTCAGTTTAGAGCAAAATAAAAGTTATATTGCCAATATTTACCAGTATTTCTTTGATTAATTCAAAGGACAGAAAATATTTTCTTAATATTCTATTATTTCAATTTGTTAATATAGAATTATTCCAAAATACAATATTTAAAAAAATACTTTTCCATTGATTTGAACTGTTTTATAATAATTTATCAAATTTATTATAATGATTTTTTTCATGTAACATTTACACATACAATTTTAATTTTTAAAATTTTAAATCTGCATCAGTTGATCACATTAAATATTGTGATAATTATCAAAATACAGTCAAACTTTACCTTTCAAACAATTTGGTTTACAAACATAATTTTGAACTCATATTTGCCCTGGTTGCTGTATGATAACTCAGCTGCCAAACAAGCTACTCTGCAAGAGCTGGCCTCAGATTATACACACACACAGATGATCAACTCCCTACATTTCCTATATTAATGTCGATGACACAACCAATCACCGATGCGATTACAGACTCATAATTTAGTGGCACTGAGATGGCCTCACATCATTAGACATCACAATGCAAATCATTAATAAATTGATAATTAAATTAGATTTCAGAGCACATGTGGGAAAGACACTATTTCCAGTTTTTGGTACATGCTGCAAAGTAATGATGCGTATGATTAAAGTGAGAATAAATAATCCTTTTCTTGTTATAACAGTTGTTTGAATATGTGAATCACCTCTAAAGTCTGAACAAGGGTTTTTCCTTAGTATTTTTATTTAGAAAATTTTTTAAATTGAAATTTTCCAGCCCTATTGAAAATTTTATTAATTTTAAAAATAATGAAATAATTAAAACTCTGGCCTTTTCACTGAAACTAAAACTAAAATCAAAATTAATTAATTAATTAAAATTAAAATAAAATTAATTGAAACATAAGAGAGGCTGCAGCTGACATTTTCAGCCCAAAATATGAACGTCAAACGTTGAGCGCCGCCATCTGGCAATTCTAGAAGATTGACAATGGCATTTGCTACATCTAGCATGGTGAGTTTGGCTTAAACTTCTTCATTTTTTTGTGTTTGGGGTTAAAATTATGACATATTTTATTAAAATAATGATTATTTAAGCATTTATGAATAATATTGTAAAGAAACAGACTATTTTAATCCAGAAATTATTTAATTATTCAATTTTTTTGCGATGTGAAGCGCCTATAGAATTTGCATATATTTCTGTTCATAATAGCTTATCATAATTCTGTAGGAGTACATTTGCTCTTTCACAGCATCAGCTACCATCAACAGTGTAATACATTTGTAAATTTTCTAAAAATAATTTCCAGAGCTGTTTTTGGATTTACATAAGCCACTACTTCCCTCAACAAAAGTTTTGAGGTAGTCCTATCATCCTATAATACAATATGAGACATGATACTAATTAAAAATAATTATTTAGTGTCATTAAACATACTATAAATATTGTTCTAAATTTTCCGATGATTTAGCTGTTTTATATGTTGATTTAGTGAACATCTCTTCAATAAAAAAAAACCTTTCTGGTAGACTACCTCACAGCCAATTCGGGTTATAAACTCCTTTTATTGTTTTTACAGATTCATTTCGAGCTAGGTTAATTTACTAGCTCCTCCTCAGTGCTTAAGAGTTTCCATGAGTTTCATATGATCTAATTTTCACACCGTAAAAGTACCGTAGAAGTGTGAAAATTAGATCATATGAAACTCATGGAAACTCTTAAGCAATGAGGAGGAGCTAGTTAATTAATCTAGCTTGAAATGCATCTGTAAAAAACAATAAAAGGAGTTTATAACCCAAATTGGCTGTGAGGTAGTCCACCGGAAAGGTTTTTCTCGGATTGAAGAGACGTTCACTAAATCATACTATAAATACTTTAAAATAGTTTAATTTGTTTATTTACCTTCGCTAGTAACACTTGTCATCGTTAACTTTTCCACCATTTTTCAACAATATGCCATGAGTCAGTGTGCGACATGAATGTGTGGCGTAACGTTCAAACGTTACACCACACATTCATGTTGGAGTTCAAACATTAAACGTGTACTTCTGCTTGGCGTATAAGTTTAACACTTGAACTTTGGCCACAACCTCTCTATTATCTTGGAAAGTGTGGATAAAGCACTTGTGGTTCATCTTGATTAATTTAGTTATTTCATCCAGGCAGTTCAGTTTCTATACCACTTCTTTGGAAAATGTTAGTTTCAGTTTCCATTTCAATTAGTAGTGACTAATCATCTTACTTTAAAACAACTTTTAGGAACAAATGAATTTTTAATTTATCTTGTTAACTTATCTTATTAACAAGATCACATATCTTAAACTTACTGTACACAGTAAGTTTAAGATATGTGATCATTATTATGATAATTTCAATACTTCAAAATTAAAAAGATAAAAACATTTATCCTAATTTGAATATTTAAATCTGAAGTTCAAAAGCAGAGGTTTGACTGTATTGCATTTAAAAGTTAAAAAATACTTTTAATTATTTTATTATAAAACATTTAATCCGTATACAATAATTTAAAACACTATTAATTTCTTACCAGAATATTTCTTTACAAATTTCAAAATTTAATAAAATTTTTCAAATAAAGGCAACCTCATATAATATAGTTTCATTCTAATGTGGATAGAGAATTGCAGCAAACCTCAACAGCATTTTTGAGCCTTCCTTACTATTGCATATAATTTTTCAACTCTCTTTCTCTTTTTTCTTTTGTGAATATTGGCATAACATCTATCTTGCTTTTAAGAATTGAAAACTATCTTTAAAACCCATTACACCAAAAAATACTAATAGATTTTGGAAAAATAATTCAAATCTAATGAAATGGTAGAATATAAACATTATTTACTTGCATAATGTATCAAAATAATAACTTTTTTACTTAAAGAAGTAATGTTGATGACATTAAATGCACATTTGGATATTACTATCAATTCATTTGGAAAAGCAATTGAATAGGCAGAAAACAGAATCAATCCAATAGTATAACTTGCAAAGTTGGAAAGAGAAAGATTCAATGACTATCAAAGACATACAAGTACTTGGGATTTACCAGCTTTTGTACAAGTAACATTTAGTAAGAATGGCATCAAAAGTAAACTAATCATTTCAGAAATGATAGCTGAGATAAAAATTCCAAATTTTCAAATTTTAACTCAAACATACAGAAACTTAGCTGGGCAATTAAAATCTTATTTTTTTACTGAAATCAGTAAAAAGTTCAAAAGGAGGTTCAAAATGCCTAGGTCCATACTATGAAATTTACAATGATCAAGCAAAAGCAAGCAAACCTAGATTACTGATTTTCAAAAAAGCAGAAGATACATGAGATCTATATGCAGTCGAAGAAAGTTTAGAAGTCAAAACTATTGTATGCTGGAGAAAATTTTGTTTGCTTGTGCTTAGTAGTGGTGAAGAGGAAGAAACTTAAATGAACACACTTTATTTGATGTACAGGTACCTCTTGTACAACAAAGCACTCCTACAAACAACACAGTTTCACTCTAACACGATTTGAGAAATCCTCTGCACAAAATTTCACAATTTTTAAGTGTAAACTCCATTATTTGATATTTATTTTATTCAAGTAAGCACTTATAAAATAAATATTTTTAGAAGATAATGTAGGTTAGTGCATAAGTAATTATAAATAATACATTTTTATTAACTTTCTAAAAATAAAATTACCTGCACTTTTCTCCTAAAACTCTCTGCCAATATACACAATCAGCAGCACCTCCAGCCATTGTACCCAACAGATACTCATTAATTTCAATTATTTTCTTTATAGTCTGTGATCCTGAAAAACAAAAATTAATAATCAATCTCTGGCATAAATTTTAAGCAAAAGGTGATTAGAATTATTTCTACTAAGAATAAAATAGTCACTATGTACTAGTATTTGTATTACAAATAATATAAGTGCAAAATGAATTTTTAATTTATCTTGTTAACTTATCTCATTAACAAGATCACATATTTTAAACTTACTGTGTACAGTAAGTTTAAGATATGTGAACATTATTATGATAATTTCAATACTTCAAAATTAAAAAGATAAAAGCATTTATCCTAATTTGAATATTTAAATCTGAAGCACAAAATTTCAGAATAGCAATCAAAATATCCAAACAATTTCAATGTATGAAATAATGCTATTGCCAAATATATACAGTAAAGCATCGATTATCAGACTCAATTAGGGACTGGGGTTGGTCGGATAATTAAAAAGTCGGATAACTGAAAAGTATGAAAAAATCCATTATTAGTGTAGTATATTATTATATCCCATGTAATTAGTATATCGCTATTAACCAACTTTGCGTTGAATTTTCATCGATGGTAAGCCTAACAAATTTTTTTTAAAATAATAATCGTCGCTATTGTATCGTTAAAAATTATTTTTAAATTATTTAATTGCTCACAAAACAAACCACCACTCGTAATTAGAAAATTAAGCCTCGTTTAAATACTGGCCTCCCTTCAATGGTCAAGCCAGTTTTGCCAGCTAAAACACACAAAAATTTAACAAAAATAATATTAAAGTAGCCAAGACATAGCCAAATATTGTAGCGCCACATCACTAGCGAACATTTGAATTTGCCGACTAGAACGCGGTCGGTTAACCGAGGTGACGGTTAATCGGGGGTTGGATAATCGATGCTCTACTGTATATATAATTTAGTTATTAGTTAATAATGGGATGATTAATTTGAATCAGGAATTGGAAAAACTGAGCATTTTCTAATAATCAGAATTAGAATTGAGCAAATCTCATCATAGTTTTCAATTCTTAAAAGCAATTCTTCCACATTTAATTATTTGTTTCAGTCAAAGATTAAAAATTTTTAAAATTTTAATTAAGTTATAAGCAAATTAACATTGATTGAACTATTGGGCTACTTACTTTCAAATCTGCACCAGCAGCCAGCAAAATAATTTTATATATAAACAAACATATTTTTATTGAAAAAATATAAATTTTTAAAAATATTTTGTGTGTTTACTTATAATAATAAAATGATTCATTATAATTAGGAAGGTTTTTGTTATGATTCAGAGACAATAGTGTAATATGTTATATTTTCAAATGTGATTTGTGCAATTCTGGGTAAAAATACTTGTTTTGCCAAGTTTATTGCTGTTTTGAATTTTAAGAATTGATTTTTCCAGATGAGTCAGTCTATACATTCATGGCTCAAGTGAATGAATTCAAAAATTAGTTAACTTGTAATGCTGATATTTGTTCAACTCATTGCATCACTTGCAAACCTCATTTAGTGTTAAATATAATGAATTAAAGCATTTACAAGACATGTAGATTGGGACAAGCATAAAGGAAGAAGTGCATTTTCTCATTTACCTTCCTCCCATGTCATTACATCAGCCAACAAAGAATTTCCAAAGATGGTCACCCCACATGATATGACAGGATAGTTCTTTGAATAAAAATGAATTAGTTGTGAGCATTTTTTTTTTTTTTTTTTTTTTTGAGAATGGTGTTGCAGTATTAAATTTATTTGAATAAGATTACAAATTTATTTTGTAGTACACAATAAAAACATGTATATCTATGTATAAATAGAAATTTTCGTTTCTTTTAAAAGACTGATTCTGGATTTTCCAATAATTTTTCATTCTTAAGCTTGATATATTAAGCTTATCAATTAATCATTCAATCAATCAACCAATCAAGCAACATTAATTAAGCTTGATAAGCTTCATTAATGAATTTACCATGCTCATAATGTAAAACATTAATTTTTCTAAACTAAAATAAACTTTAGAAATTATTCAAAAGAATCGGAATCTAGAATTTTTAGCAGAATTGGAATTGGGAAAAATTTTGGTATCATCTAATCACTTATATATATAACAGTATAATAGACTCCATATTTAAAATCATACAGCATTCTGACAGTCACAACAGAAACTTTATTTCATGCAGAAAAATCATTTATAAAAACAGGAAGGTCAAAATAGAAAATCATAAAGCAGGAATCTTTCTACTGTATATAATACAGTAGATCCCCCTATAACACAGGTTCATAGAAACACGCTAAAAGAGACTTGTATAATACGGTAAGACGTCATCACCAACTCGTGTCGCAAGAGGATTGGTCTAGAATCTAGACCTATAGCTGATATTGCACAAACTATGAGTTTAAACGAGCACTGGACCTACAAAAAATCATTTATTATTCAATGACCATAAAAATTATATTTTTATTAATGATGTCTCCAAAGTTATTTTTCTGTGAAAAATTTGCTGATCAGAAAACACGTGCCCGCTGTTCAATGACAATGTAAGCTCCTCAACAAAAACAAGCTTAAGCAATGGCGTCATCGAACGGTGCACACTCGGTAAGTAATCCTATAATTTTTTTGTTTATAGCATAGTTTATATGGATTATGCCCAAAAAATTATACGTATTTTGGAAATGCTGAGTCAAATTAGTCTAGAATTGATTCATTTTATGAAAGAAAACCTTTCAAACAGTCGTAGTCCATAAACTGTATATGTGCTGGGCTGTGATTGGCTCATATTTAAGAACTCTTAGAACATCAATTTCATAAAGAATGGAACGTATCTACCGTGTTATAGGGGGGGCCACTGTACTGTGTTCTTATATTGTACACTAGTATAAAGATTTTTATTTTTAAAATCTAAAATAATAAGTATTCCTTTGAATATCAAGCAAAAAATAATTGAAGATTCTGATACTTTTTTCATATTCTCAATATGCTGAAATGTACAGGATTCACAAAAATTAATTGAAAACAGAAATAGCAGTTGTGCAATAAAATGCATAGTTTAAGTCATTTACACGTTTCATTAAATAAAGTAAAAATATCCTAAATTAAATTTATTTTAATATATGTATGAAACTTCTTACCAATGTAACTACCACTAGTTGCTCTGGAATCAACAGCAATAACAATTCCACCTTTGTATTTAAAAGCTAAAGTTGTTGTTCCTTTATTATAATTTATAGAAATACGCTTTCCACTGTCACATATTTTAATATCCTTAATTCCAAGTGCAGCCTGATAAATAAAATTAAATATCAAATTTATTCATTACAATATATATACATACATTCCATTTATATAAAACATACTAAAATGTAAATACTGTACACACAATAATATCCATTTTTAGAAAGAAGAATGTAATCACACAAGGAAAAATTATTCAAATTTAGAAACTTAACTTTAATTAATAGGTCAAATGAGAGCAATCCAAGTTGGTAAAAATATGAGTATGGTCTCTCAGACTGCAAAGGACTTTCAATAAAGAAATGGAAAAACTATTTTTTTATAAGTAAGGTCAAGATTAAAAGTTTATTCATGAAGACTTGGTATAGTTTATTGGGCACATACAGATATTAAATGTGCCAATCAAGAAAATATTTTGTATTTTATTTGTGACAAGTGTAAGCAGTGAAGTTCATTATAAACTTTCAAAGATTTGTTCGTTTTCTCAGTATTCATTTTTTGAATAAATAATGTTATTGATTATAGTACAATAGTAGAATAGTGTACTATTCAAAGAATTCTGTATTTTATTTGCTTGAATAAAACTCAAAAAACAATTTAAATTATCATTAAGCTCTTAATACCCTTTAGAATAGTAACTGGATGACAATATTTGCACTGCTTAAATTTGTGACTTTTTTATTTTAGAAATAATTAGTACTTTCGGCAAAATTTTAAAGAAATTTTACCCTGTATTTTATATGAAGCACTCTTTCAGGTATCATATTACTGTTGTAAAATCAATTTTTCTCAAATCTTATATTGGCTACAGCCAAAAATATTAAGGTGATCAATACAGCACAACTCTCCCCTACTTCTTTACATTTACATACATTTTTAGAGCTGTGGCTCTAACCTCGAGATTTTAATGTACTATAAGATCAGCAGTTTCCAAATAATCAGCAGTAGTCCTCAAATAATTATGGTCTTTTGAACATTGTTTTATATGAACCTAATAAATTTATTTGGTGTTAAACTTAGCATAACTGCCAATGTTCAAAGGATTTTTTCCTTTACCTCATAATAGCTTTTACTTTCCTGGCTGTTATGTATACATAACAAGGGTTGACAGACAAAAAATTGCTCATTTACATAGGTAGACATACATTTAAGTATTTCATATTTATCTTAGAACCATTAAGCACATGAAAGATTTTGAAGAGTTTTTTCATCTTGATCTCTTAAAATATAAATCTATCTATAAAAACAAGATGTAAAGTATTTATAAATTCATTTTTATGTATTTATTATTGTACAAGGGCAGTTTTTTTCCAACCCTTAATGGTCCATAAAACAAAGACAAGTGTAAATAATAGAATAAATTTATTACCAAAAGTTAGGTACAAACATGGTTACTTTTTGACATAATCACCATGAAGATTGAGGCATTTATCATATTTATGGACGAGCTTTGCAACACCTTCTTCATAGAATGCTGCCGCCAGTGACTTGAGATGAGCCTTAATGTTATTTTGAAGATCATCATTAGTCTCGAATCTCTGCCCTCCTAGCCATGTTTTCAGTTCAGGAAAGAGGTGGAAGTTTTCACATATTAAAAAGTTCCAAGCTAGGTAGAAATCTGAAAGGTGGAAGTAATCACCATCTTTAAACACCCAGCATATTGCCCCAATTTAGCATCGAGCAAATTCCACCTCTTCTCTGAATTGAATATATGGCGAGGAGGGCAGAGGTTCGAGACTAATGACCATCTTCAAAACAACATTAAGGCCCATCTCAAGTCACTGGTGGCAACATTCTATGAAGAGGAATTGCAAAGCTCGTCCATAGATATGTCATACATAACTCCTAATTTTGTTTATACAAGTACATATATTTTTTAATATATCATATTTATATATATCCTTTATTCCTTATATAAACTTTTAATATTGTACATGTAATCATTTTTTTCTTTTTCTTTTGTCTTATTTGTACTTTTATTTGTTGTATTATTGTATATTTACCTTTTCTATTGTATATTTACCTTTTCTATTGTATGTGCAGTTTTACCATCATGATTATTTTTTTGTAGCCTGTCCTTTTATTACTATGAATATAATTTCAGTATTTTAATTGTATTTATAATTGTAATTATATAGTATTTTTATAATTGGTTTTGTATTAATTATCTGTACTAATATTATAAAGAGGTAAAGTTTGTAAGTTTGGATATAGGAGGTAATCTCCAAAACTACTCATCCGATTTCAAAAATTCTTTCACCAATATTTAGAATGAACCTTCAGGGTGAACATAGGCTGTATATTATTCTGTTAAACATTCATATAAATTAAAAGATATCATCTAGGTAAGCATTATATTTTTGGTGTCAGTGGGTGGCGAGGGGCAAGATGCATATGTATATGAGATAGGTAACCGAGATGAGTTCAATGGTACCCTACTTTTGGACCAGAAATGAAAAATAAGAAAGTTATCATATTTACAATTTCTTGCCTTTCACAATGCATTCTATGCCATTTTAGTTTTCCACTAGGTGGCGTTTGACTGTTCATGCTCCTGACAGACCTCCCAGAGGGGGCCGCCAGCAGGCTGCCAAGTGTTTAACATCACTAGTTATTGATTCACGGTAGTTCTTGAACAAAAGAAATAAAAGGAAGTGCCGTTCAACTGTTCGTACAATTTCTTGCCTTTCATAGTGCTTTTTTAATGGTTTGCAGACTTTACCGTAAGATGGTGGTACTAGCAACTATGGTGTCATCTGCATGATAGCATTAAAAAAGTATGATAACTTTCTTATTTTTCATCTCTGGTCCAAAAGTAGAGTATCGTTGAACTCATCTCAAACCCCTCAGTTCAGATATATATTCAAAGTCCCGAGAATGCATAGGTGGTAATCTACATAATCCCCAATAATCTTTCACATTTTCTACATTTCTATTTCCATTGTTGAGTTTTTTTTTATACTCTTTCTGTCCTTTGTCACTAAGAATGCTTTTTTTTATCTTATCAAGTCCATTACAAGTTTGGTCAGGCCCACAATAAAGCAGTCAAGTGATGATGGATAGATCCAACATATGAAGGACAAACAATTCCAAATCTTGAGGTTTCTCAGATTCATTACTGGGTCCCCATAGCAGTAGGCCGAAACCTTAACCACTTGGCCATTTGGCATTCTCTCTCATTGACTCATGACAAGCAAATATCCTGAAAACACTTGGGTTTACCAAAAACTTTTCAGAAAAGAAGTTAAAATCAAAATGGACTTTTAGAGTTTGTAAATTTATATAGAACTTATTAGTAAAAACAGAGTAATACAATAAAAAACAACATTATTCAATAAGTATTGATTTTTAAATAAGTCTGTTTAAAAAATAATTAAAAACAAAACTCATGTAATGATTCTATACAATTACCAATTAAAAATAAAAATTGTAACAGACGATACTCATAATAGTATGATGATAGTTTACCTCAGAAACTGGTGGAAGTGCAAAGGCGGTACGTGAAACTGAATTTCCAATGAAATCTTCGTTTAATGTTAAACCATTTTGAATTTCAGACATTCGTCCGAAATGAAAATTCTTCGGCCAACTTACTAAAGCTTCGAGTGCCATGATGATTAGCAGAATATTGATAGAATATTTTCTTCTCACTAGGAGCGCTAGTATCGAAACTTTATTCAGAGGTTAATTTTTAATTTAATAAAAAAAATAATAATTTAAGTCGAATTTTAAATTAATTACCAATTTATATAAAGTTTATTTTATAAAGCAAAAACAAAATAAATTTAATTATTTTAAATAATATAAATATTTTGTTCGGTATTTCAATTTTTAATAAGCCGCCACATACGTTCGTCGGCTTATGGTGTAAACTGAGAGTGATTTAGTATTTTCAGTGAAATTTTTGCATATCAACTAAAATAAATTTTAATTTATTTATATATTAGCTCAGAAAAGTTCTTTTCTCAGCTGCTTCGAATCTGATAAAATATTTAATGTAGTTGCTTTGTGGTAAATATGTCGTCGCTTAAATTTTGACAATACACCAAATGAATATGCCATTTTTTAAGTGTTTGGTTTTGTAAATTAATCATTTTTATTTGAAAATGACAGATTTAATAATAATGAAATAATTTTCAAATTTTAAAAGTAAAACTTAATAATATTTTTCAATAATATACATACATTGCATATACTTTTTATTCATTCATATTTTTTAATATCTATGAGGCAATTACAACTTTATTATCACATGTTACATTTGTTTTTAATTTTTGTTAATATTTCAATGTAGCTCAATCTTATTAGTTTATAAAATTTATTTATATTGTATTCAAAATCTTCATTATTAGAGAGGTTGTGGCCGTCGTATTCAGGCCAAAACGTGTACGGCGAACGGTTGAGCGCCGCCATCTGGCCGTTCTGGACGGTCGATCAGTGCTGTGCGATGTCTATAATTTTAACATCGATGTCAAACATCGATGTTTGCCTAAGCATCGATGCTAAATTTCGATGTCGGATTTCACATCGATGTTTGATCGATGCCCATTGGAACATCGATGTTCAATCAAGATAAACTCAAACAATTTAAAAAAAAAACAAAACCGGGTTTGTTCGAACAGAAGTTCCTGACGCATGCGCAATGTCATTTTACAATGCGAAGAATAACGTGCATGCCGGTTCTAAATCAGTTACAGTTAGGGACTAGGGACTTGCGTAGGAGTAACGTAAGTAACCTAAATTAAGAAAGAACAGGTACAGATAACTTAGCTCTATTTGATACGTGTACGATCGTACATGCAAAAAAAAGTCGACAGGGTTTTTTTTTACTATTTCCGCCCTGTGGGCACTAAGAGGGCCTTTTATAGCAGGCCCATTATGGGTTCGGCCAGGCCCACAATGGGGCGACCGGGTGGTGAGGGACGGGGCCTGACATATCCGAACAGACCACCCCCCGAAAAATTCCTGGGGATTCCTTGACCCGTCCGGATTCGATCCCGGGTCCCCCAGAGCGGTAGGCTGCCACCTTGACCGCTCGGCCATCCGGCCTCAAAGTCGACAGGTTGCGCGCCACAAGTCGGCGTAAACAGACTAACATGGCAGAGTTGCGGATGAGTTTCAATGAGTGTGAGTTCGTTCACTGTTAAAATAGTGTAAATTTGTAAACATATTTGCAAGAACTTTGTTTCATCGCAATTTCACAATTTCTACGAAATTCCCGGACTGTCCGGGTGAAAACCGGATAGGTGGTAACACTAGGAACAAAGAATGAACTTCATGCATCGATGAATCAAAATTCACATATTGCTAACATCGATTCAGGATCGATGTTTCAAAAACATCGGAAGGTTGATGCATCGACGAACAAAAACATCGATGTGTCGATGTCACATCGATGCATGGCACAGCACTACGGTCCTATATACCTTGACTACGGTCGATAATGGCGTTCGCTACGTCTAGAAAGGCGAGTAGACGATCGGCTTAAACTTCTACATTTGTTTGCGTTTGGGGTTAAAATTATGAAGAATTTTATTAAAATAATGATTATTTAAGAAGTTGTGAATAATATTGTAAAGAAACAGACGATTTTAATCCAGAAATTATTTAATTATTCAATTTTTTAGCAAATGATTCAGAATTTACATATATTTGCCTTCATAATAGCTTATCTTAAGGTAGGTTTGCTCTTCAACGGTATCTTCTACCATCAACAGCGTTTGTAAATTTTTTAAAAATTAATTTTCCGATCTGTTTCGAATTTACATAAGTCACTACTTCCCTGGACAAAAGTATGAGGTAGGCCTATCGTCCGATCGTACGGTAGGAGACACCACGCTAATTAAAAATAATTATTTAGTGTTATAACATCCTATAAATACTTTAAAATAGTGTAATTTGTTTATTTACCTTCGCTCGGGAAATTCGTTGTCAAATGGTTTCGCCATTTTTTCAACAAATTTCCCGTGAGTCAATGCGCGACGTTCATTGAGTCACGTGATGTTGTGAACGTCCGCCGCAACGATTTTTTTATTGGAGTTAAAACGTAAACCGTGTACTTCGGCTTGCCGTGTAGAAGTAACGTTTGAACTTCGGCCGCAACCTCTCTATTACTGTTGTTAAAGAATCATTATTTTATGCAGTACCTTGCCAAATTATTAGACCCATTGACTAAAATCATACTTTTTGTACTAATTTCTTCTAACTACAGTATATTTACTTTTTTCGTAATATTGTTTAAGGAATAAATATTTTTTCATGTTATTCTCTAAATCTCGAGAACGGAATTAGATAAATGAAATCCGAGATCAGATATGGAAACCTTATGGGCAAGAGGTCCACCTTTACTATATAAGAACTTCTGATGAAAACCAGAAGTCACATTATTTTAATTCAAAATTTTTCCTCTGGAAGGTGTTAGATAGATGACCGTCACGACTCTATTGTTAAAGGAAAAGTAAGATGTACAGCGGCAAGCAACTAATAATTTGAGGTGAAGAACATATATTTTAAATTAAATTATTTTAAAATATGAGTACAGTCGACCCCCTATAACGTACGTTCTTATAACGGAAATTCCTATAACGTAGCGAAAAAATTGTAGCAACTTTCGTATAACGTACCTCCTATAACGTCGTTTCTTGAGAAGATTGATAGAGTCTGGACCAATAGTGGATGAGCAGCCGAACTACTTTCCTCCGACCCTGCGCCACGCTACTGAGCGGCTAAATTGAGTTTGCTATCGTCTGTTTAGTATTATATATAAATTATATATAAATTAGGTACTGTACATATAATTATATATTAATTATATATAAATTAGGTACTGTATATATAATTATATATTAACTTAATTTATTGTAACTTTATTATAATTATATATATACTTTCCGCCGTCCAGCGCCACGCTACGGAGAGTTTAGGCGAGTAAGTTGAGTTTACTATCGTCTGTACAGTATGTAAATTAGGTACCGTAAGTCTAATACAGCACTAATTTTATACATTTCTTGTGAAAGAAACACTTCTTATTCAACGGCCATAAAAATTATTTATATTAATGATGTCTCCAAAGTTCAACGAAGTCTTCGCAGAAAAATAAGTTGTTAGAAATCGCGGCCGCCGTTTAATGTGCTGTTCCGCGATGAAAACCAGCTTTAAGCAACGGCGTAGTCGAACGGTACACACTCGGTAAGTAATCCTATAATTTTTTGTTTATAGCGTAGTTTATACGGATTATTCCCAAAAAATTATACGTGTTTTGGAAATGTTGAGTGGAATTAGTCTAGAATCGGTTAATTTTATAGAAGAAAACCTTTCAAACAGCCTTAGTCCGTAAAGTTCCCTCCTATCGGGCTGCGATTGGCTCATGTATTTAATCATTTCTACAACGTAATTTTCGGTAAGCGTGGAACGTATCTAAGCGTTATAGGGGGGTCTACTGTATAAATTGCAGCCCGGCATTGTGACGATGTCACAATAAATAATTTCTCTTAGTTAGTTTATTTGTGAAAACTTTGGTTTCAACTTAGAAAATATTTACAATGAAGAACCATATTTTAACTTTTGTCACGTTACCAACCGCCATATTAAAGTTAAAATCCTTCTAAGAGGTAATAAGGAGTTAATAATTGTGCGAAATGGAAAAAGCGTTGCATTTGCCCATGAAAAATAGACAAAGAAAACATGCCAGTAAGTGCAAGAGACTGATACACTATTAGGATGTGCACGAACTGCACTATATCCATCATTGTGGATAACACAAGTATATTAAGACGAACTAACCTTTTGTTCGTTATGTTATAGACAACAACTTTAGATCTGAAGCCGTCAGCCCGAATAGGGATTGGAAAATTATTAATTTGAAATGCATTGTTAAATATGCGAAATAAAGAGAACTGTTTTAAGCTGGGTCTCTGTTAATTATGCATAATTAAGAAAGACATGATAGATATTACTAGTCTCGCTATTGGAAGAAACGTTCACTTATAACTTTTTATACTCTCTCCAGTCTGACGAAATAGAGTCTGTCTCCTTGAAGTTAACTACCGTTTTTCTCCCGAAGACTTTGTAGATTTCTAAGCTGTCAAGTTGTTTCGGTCGAGGCTCTATTTCGGTCGATGGCGTCTTTTCCATTCTACGGAGTGAGGAAATTGTAGAGTTCTTCTAAAACCCTGCAATCTCCTCTCTCCTTAGAATTCTGTGCTTACTATATCGGGCTATCTCCTTATAGATGAAACAGAGAACCTTGTCGTAGGTGACTACCACACTGTGTGATAGAACTGGCTCAGCTGAAGCATTCGAAAAGGATAGATATCTACAAACTGTTCGGGATAAGAGAGGCATAAATATAGATAGTCCATTTATACGTTATTGTAGGCCTATAATCATACAATGTAGTAAAATCGCTGTAGAGGAAATTGCCGTCAACTTTGATGTTATAAACAATAATGTAACGAAACGACGACGTTTATATCAAAATATCTTTTAAACTATAGTCATGTTACTGAACGCCGTTTAGTAAAATCGTTATATAAAGTTTTAATTGGCATAAATTTGAGCTTTTGTAATTTTGAGTAACATTTTGAATAAAATTCTTTTGTTTCTATGCAATTTACATCTTATCAGCATAAAATTAAGCCGTAAAACTGAATTAGCTCTACGGAAAACACCCGTAAACTTTGACCTACCGACCGGAAGTTTCGCCAGTACCTCACTAATAACGAGAAATCCATAAGTCGAAAATTTTAGCTTTGTAGCCCCAGTGGGTTTTCTCTTCTAGCGTCTGCAGTGCAGGATGAAGAACAAGAAGAAAATACAACTATTTGGAGATTTTTGCACTTTTCGATTGCTCATATTTCGGAAACGATTTTATACAAAATCTTGAAATCTCGAATATTACCTAAAAAAACAATCTTCCTTCGAGCGAGACGAGATATTCTAAATTACTATAGGTGTTTCGGAGATGGAAAAATGCATCTCCGAAAATCGGCAACTCTTATTCCTGTATGTGAAGTCAGTCAGCGACTTTTTCACTTGCCGGGGAGTCATTACCGTCACTCCTGATATAAGACACTAAATTATTGGATCAAATTTCATCTATTATTAAATACAGAACGTCCTCAATATATGTTACATTTAAATTCTTATCGACAGCCGGATAGCCGAGCGGTCAAGGTGTCAGCCTACCGCTCTGGGGGACCCGGGGTTGAATCCAGACGGGTCAAGGAATCCCCAGAAATTTTTCGGAGGGGTGGTCCGTTCGGATATGTCGGGCCCCGTTCCTCACTACTCGGTTGCCCCATTGTGGGCCTGGCTCAAACCCATAATGGGCCTGCTATAAGAAGCCCTTTTATTGTCCACAATGCGGAAAGAGTATTAAAAAGAAAAAAAACAAATTCCTACAACGCGTCGTGAATAAAATGGTATACACAGTAAAAATCAACGCTTTCTACTGATATTTCTGGAATTTTCTAAATTCTGTTTCAACAAGGTTGCTAGATGTCTCAGATTTTTATAGCTTAAACAATTTTTAAATTTTGAGCTGGATTTTATATCACTAGTGCACAGAAAGTTAGATGTTTACCTTAAAAAATATATAAAAGCAGCTTTCAGATGTAAGGAAATTATTTCTACTTTTTCAGTTTTTAGAACATTAAATAAATGTTCTTGCTGAAATGTGGATTGAATTTAGTTTCTCACAATAGCTGCCATATTACAATATTGAAGCAACTTCTGATAATTGAAAATACTACAATATGTGAGAGGCAGATGTTGACCTACTAGTAGAATTTCTTCTTGTCCACAACGCGCAGGTCGCCAGTAACCCAAAAACCCACGATTTTTTCCATAAAGTGATCACTTTAACAGGTTAGATTTCAGGAAAACCAGATCTAACAGTGATCGCATTACACAATAAGCAGGTGATTGCCATACAGAGAGAAAAAATATCACTAAAATCTATCGAGTAAATTTCAGGCCAAATATAATTGCCCACTATAGGAAGGTGGCCTTGTCACCGAGATGGTAACATTGGCAGGTTCCATTGTGTGTGTGTATATATATATATAATCAGTAAAAAAATATTTTGATACAAGTAAATGATTTCGTTATAAGAATTCAAATTCAGATTTTAATATCAAAAGTAAATTGTTACCAGAGCCTCTTTGGCCATCGACCGTTGCGACCGATGTTACCGCTTCCCGGGACGTGGACCCAGAGGTTGGATTTTGGGAAGCGTGTTCGGGTTGTGAACGGTGTTGTTTATAATGCACGTGAATGGAATCGTTGGTGATTGGATGCGACGAATGTGTCGTTGTTTGAACTGTGTTTCAGCGTGACGAGTGTTGTTGTTTCTGTGCGTGGATGTGAATTACTGAACTAGTGTGAGTACGACAAGAGGAAAAAAAATAAAAAAACCTCTGGCCTTCTTATCCTACGTTAGTAAATTGAAACTAAAACCTTAAATTTAAATGTTGTTAGTATGACAAGAGGAAAAAACAAACGAAAAAAACCTCTTGCCTTCTTATCCTAGGTTAGTAATATCCTTCAGAAATAGCAAAAGAAAAAGTCGTTCGCATCTCTTACGAAGCGACGCTTTTTCCTTTGCATCTTTGCCCACACTGAACGAGAGGATCCCACTCGTTGGAAAAGAGAGGAATGATCGAAACATTCCTCCCCTCCCAGTGCGGCAAAAATGATGTCGTCAACATGGAGACATTTCACTTTTCGGAACACGTCCGAATGGTGAAATGCCTCCTCTCCGTTCAACGCGGAACAGAGAATGCTGTCGACATCCGCTATTCCCGAAGGCGATCCCGTGAAGGAAGAACCCCTTCCGCAATCGATGGAAGAGAGTTCCTCTCCCCGCTCAAAGGGGGAAAAGACCCTCTCTTCATCGATTGCGGAAGGAGAACGCCCTTCACACTTCTTCATCTTCTTGGGCCGCAGCCAACGCCAAAACCGCCAGCTCTTCATTCTGTAAAGAAACAAAAA